TTCTCTGGTAGTGTGTTTTAATATGTTGCTTTTTATTTTTAGTGGATCTATTATAGGTTTTTGTGTTGTGGTTACCATGAGGCTTACCAAAAACATATTATAGACATAGCAAGTTATTTTAAACAGATGACAGCTTATCTTAGATCACAAATTTAAAAACAGAAACAAAGGCCAAAAAAACCCGCACATACACACATGCACGCGCGCACACACCCACCCACCAACACACACACACCAGTTCTACACTTTAACTCCATCCCCATTACATTTTGACTTAGTTGTCCTAATTTGCATATTTTAATATTACGTATCTCTTCACAATTTGCTGTAGATATTACTGTTTTTGATAGGTTGTCTTTTGGGCTTCATACTAGAGTTATGATTGTGGTAGTAGTAGTACTACATTGCACACTGCAGGTACAGTAAGTACAGTAAGAGAGTATTCTGGGTTTGTCTATGTACTTGATTTTACCACTGAGTTTGAGACATTGAAAGGTTGTTTTTTATTTTTATTTTTTGCGCATTAGTGGTTTTTTATTTCAGATTGAAGAATTCTCTTTAGCATTTCTTTTAAGATGGGTCTGCTGGTGGTGAATTCTCTCTACTTTTGTTCTTTTGGGAAAGATTTGATCTCTCCTTTGTATTTGAATGATAATTTTGCTGGATTCTATATTCTTAGATGGCAGTTTTTTCTCTGAGCAGTTTAAAGAGGTCATTCAACTCTTTCCTGGCCTGTGTGGGTTTTCTTTGAGAACTCTGTTACCAGGCAATTTGGAGCTCCTTTACATGTTGTTTGTTTCTTTTTCTCTTGCTGCTTTTAGGATTCTGTCTTTGTTCTTGAGCTTTGAGAGTCTGTTGCTTTGTGGTATTCTTATTTAGGTTGAATCTGTGTGATGTTCTCAGACTTTCCTGTACTTGAATATTTATATCTTTTGCAGGTTTGGAAAGTTTTCTGTGATTATTTCTTTGAATATGTTGTCTACCCTTCGCTCTTGCTCAGCTGCATCTTGAATACCAATAATTCTTAGGTTAGGTCTTTTGAGGTAATTTTCTGTATCTTGTATGCAGTCTTTGTTCTTTTTTGTTCTTTTTTCTTTCTTCTCTGTGTCTTTTCAAATAGCTGGTCTTTGAGCTCACTGAATCTCTCCTCTGCTTTGTTCAGTCTGCTAAGAGCCTCTGATGAGTTCTTCAGTTTACCAAATGTATTTCTCAGTTCTGAGATTTCTGTTTGATTTCTTAAAAGTATTTCAATCTCTTTATCAAATATATCTGATAAATTTGTGAATTGCTTTTCATTTTTGTCTTGAGCTCATGAGTTTCCTTAAAATTGGTATTTTGAATTCTTAGCTCACAAATCGCCATCTTGTAGGGTTGGATTTTCCCTTGTCTTTTGGGGGAGGTCATAATTTCCTGTTTGCTGTTGTTTCTTGTGGGTGGGTGTCTGTGTCTTTGTATGGAAGGATTAGTTTTTAATTCCAGTTTTCTCTGTCTGTCTTGTTCTGTTTTTTATTGGATATGTTTGCTTAGAAATTTTTTACCGCTCAGCCTCTGCCACCGCTTTGGCCCTAGGTGACCTTTAAACCCAGGTTTGCCTTGGCTCTAGTAAGCGATGGGAGCGCTGCTTGTTCTGAATAAGGGAAGTCCCAAAGGGATTCTCCTGGCAGTGTGAGATGGCTGACTAGGAGTTTGTGCCCAAGGGATCTGTGGAATGTGTCTTCTCCAGCGTGGTGCTGCTAAACAGCCGCTGTGATTCGGTGTCTTCTTTGGCCAAGTTACAGAGCAGAGTGTCCAGGACTAGGGCTGGTGGTCCCATCTCCCAACTTTTTCTCTGCGTGTTCTCGGGGAAATTTCTCTCTTCAGGCAGTCACATCACTTCCTTCCCATGGGTTAAGGCAAGGACAGGTCTCCTGCAAGGAATCCCAGGAAGGTGAGAAAGCTGGTCGACCACCTCAGTCTCACTTTTCCAGTATCACTTTTCCACGAGTTGGGGGAGGATTTTCTGCACTTTTATTGCCGGGCAGAATCGGGGAGGGGCATCATGACTATGGAAGTCCAATTCTTCCATCTGCATGGAGTTTTTCCACTTCTCCGTGGCCTCAGGATCTGTCTTGTCCTCATGTTTGAGTTCTGGGTTGTTGCTGGGGAAAATCTTGTGCTGTATATTTGTTTTAGGTTTTCTGCGGAGGAATGGGAGGAGGGAAAGCAGCGCGCTTCTGTGCCACCATTTTAAAATGAATGTCGCAAGTTCTGCTTTAAACAATATTAATAATAACAATTATTTTCACTTTATAAATAGCTGCTCTGTCTGATCTCAGATGCTTTGTGGTGGAGAGCAGGGAGATCCCATCCCAGCTTAGTAGACAAACCTTAGAAACTGTTGTAGCCATCATGGTTTACTTTTACCTTTTCTTTTTGTGGAGGAATGATGATGGTAGTGTTTGGCTTTCTTTTTGTTTATTTTGTTTTTTTAATCTTCAAACATTTAAAATTACTAAAGTAAATGTTTGCCTTTTCTTCATTCTTTCCTTTTTACTCTGAAATGAAATAACACGAAAATGGCAGATAGTTATAGAAAAGTATGAATATCTATACCTAGACATGATTAAATATACTTTCTTTATCTCCTATAGTCAGATACGAAACAAGAGAAATGACACTAACAGGGAGAGATGACTGGCTGCAAAAGGCAGAGACCTTGGAGCCTTGTCTCTTCTAGTCATTGTTTTACCATCTTCAGAGAACTCATGCAAGTCCCCAAGCCTCAGCTTCATCTACAAAACGAAGAGTTCAGAAAAGATAGTTTCTGAGATTCTTCCACAAAATTCTTTTATTCAGACTAGGAAGCTAACTGTTGGAGGTAAAATGAAGCCGATTTTGGTACATAGTGATGATTAGAACATGGGTTTGGCTGGATTTTGAATTCCATTCAAATCCATTGAATTTATGCCTCAAGAAAATTTCTTAGACTCCCCATGTCTCGCTTTCCTTATATGCAAATGAGGGTAATAATACCCATACCATAGAGCTACTGTGAGGATTAAAAGAGATTGAGGATTTGCTAAAATCCGATATTTAAAATTAGAACACATCATGTGACTATGATTGACATTTCATTTGAGGTACTTAGTCTGCTATTTTTAAGTTCTTAAAGTTTCTTAAAAAATATGTAAAGGCCTCAGTCACGGGTTCATGTTTCCGGTGTTCCCAGAAACAATGCCTATCCTTTGAATGTTGATGCCTTAAGATGCCTCTGGAATTGACATTTAAAGTAACCCAGAAGCTTATTCTCATACAGGTATTTTTATTTTAGTAAAGGAAAAGTGAAATTTTGTCTTCCCTGTTACATAGAAAATGTTGATTTCAGGTAAAATCTAAATAAAAATGTATTAATAGCTTCTAATGACCTTTGCCTATGAAGAGACAAAAATAAAACTTAAATGTACAAAATCTGTGTAAGTTAGAAAGCACTTAAAGAATGTGTTATTGTTGTTGATAATACAATACCACAGTAATCAAACTCTGTAAATTACCTCAAGGCTAAAATTAATGACAATTTTATGATTTTCTTGCACTTACTATTTTAATGCTTTGCTATAGAAAGACAGTGGTTAAATAAGTAGGACTGGGTTGCCAGAGCAGATTTTCTTTAGTTTACTTTTTTTTTTTTTTTTTTTCAAAGTTGCATTCTCATCCTTTTTGGACTTTAGAATTGGTTATTCAGTTTTTTGTTGCTTTCTTTTCATAAGCTCAGCAGATTGGTCTCTTTCAATTCTTAAGGAGTTCTCAAGACTTTGCCTTGAAATCCTGGGCAAGATAGAAGTGGAGGAGAGGAGTATATTAGCAATCTCTTGGATGGAAAACAAGATAGAAAATGACGATAAAGCAGAAATCTGTACCTAAAACCCAAAATAAATATACCCAAATACCTTTGTAATTATATTAGTGTTATAAAAATGTAAAGTCTAATAGAAAAGTTAAGATGATAAACCATCAATACTGTCTTTACCTTTTGAGCCCATGAATTTTTAGCACCAGGCTGATAGTATGTTCATGGGAGGGGAAATTCCACACTTATTTCAAAGCCCTAAACAGAATTTTGGTACATATCTTCCTTTGGACTGTCAGCATATATTTGCAGACTAGTGACAGTGGTGGCATGGCCCAAGGATTGAATTTGCAGTACTACCATTGGTGGCCATTTAATAGGTAGAAGATGGATGTACAGAGAGAATTGTTGGAGATCTGTGTGCACATTTCCAAAGAGATTGGTTTACGGGAGAATGTTACTGTTACTTAAGATGTCCTCTGCAGTTTTGTATCTAGCCTGGACTAGTCTGTTATGGTTTGAAAGCAGATTAAAGCTATTGGACAGATGTGATATGTTCTTACACTGGCTCCTTACAGTGAAGGGAAGCAGACATAGGGGATTACTTTGTGATGAATTTCAGTTCTGCTGACTTCATTGAATTGATTGAGAGCTAAATTAAACATTTTAACAGTTGTAAAAGTTAATACTGAAAAGATTAATACTTGAAGCTCTCCAAGCCTTAGAGTTTATCAGATATCTAGTATATGTAGGGATGAGGCAGTTATATAACAAGTTGTGGAGTATACAAGGATCTGGTGAATTAAAAAAATAGAACATATAAGATGAAATCTAAACAGTACATTTTAGAGGCCTGTACTATCCAATCCTTTTTAAAAAGTCAAGAGTCAAGTATTCATTGTTTGCTTATTGAAATCTTGATAGCATTTGCTAACTCAGTGGTTCTAAAGTAAATCCTGGAGTTAAAATGAAATAAGGCCTTATTAATACATTTAAATGGCAAACAGTATTTAGGCAAATATTATAAATATCTGTATATTTATATCTAGTCCTAATATCCTAATTCAGTATCTCTCCTCTATGAAATAGAAAGCAGTTTTGTGCTATTGCATGAGCAATGCAATATTTATTTCCCATCTTGCAATGAAAACTGTTGATTGTTTGCTCTTCACAGGTCACTGACAAGGAACAGGAGTTTGCTGCCAGGGCTGCGAAACAGCTCGAATATCAGCAATTAGAAGACGATAAACTTTCTCAGAAATCATCTAGCAGTAAACTCTCTCGGTCTCCATTAAAGATTGCCAAAAAGCCTAAAAGCATGCAGTGCAAAGTGATACTTCTAGATGGATCAGAATATACCTGTGATGTAGAGGTAAGTGTGTGTCTTAAGACTTTTTTGTCCTAGATATTGAGAGCTGGGGAATGTTGGTATAAAATATACAAGATGCCTCTTTATTTCTCTAGGACTCTGGGAAATGACTCAAACCCAGTCTCTAAATATAAAATTATTTCCTAGTCTCTAACAGGGGATCAGATTAAAAATATGTATAGTGTCCCAAAATGTTACAATCAAAAGTAAAATGTGATCGTATATTTTTTAAAAGATAAAATCTCCAACAATATGGTAGGAACAACAAAAAAAAACATTTGAAAGCTTTAAAAACAGACTTTAATATCCCGGCTGTGAGCTATTATTTACATGAATTTTATCCTTTTTTTGCATAATTTATGGCCACATCATTTGTTACTTGGTGGAAAGCTTACAAATTCTGTACATAGGGGTGGTGGGATAATTCGAAAACGTCCATGACCTTCTCTTGCTTGGAGAATGAGTAATTTTTAAAATGCACATTGTGGTGGGCATTGCAGTTTCAGTGTAAAAGGGTATACTCTTTGTTCTTCTTTGTAAGGAAAACAGATTCCTCTCAGAGAAATGGCAGTTGAATGCCTTTTGTCAGAGATGTTTGTCAAGACCAAATTAGCAGATGAGAACACAAGCTGTCTGGAGCTGCAGAGACGGCTGATTGTTGAGTTCTCTGAGTATAAGGGAGAATTCACACAGGGCATGAATTCAGGCTCTAGGAGCAGGTCTGTGTGTGCACCAAGATGGAGTGGCTTGCACTTTTAGCAAGGTGATTCCATTTCAGATGTGATGTCTTCATTCAAAGAGCTCATTCTTCCTGCCTCCAGCTCCTGGCCTTGTCATAAAGAGGGGAGGGTATCACACACATCTCCAAGCCAGCCCCTCTACCCTCTCATTCCACCATGCTTTCAAAGTCCACCCTTTCCTCAGGCTTGTGCTGAGACTCTGTCCCAGGCAGCACAGTCAGTGCACACGTGTGTGTCCTCACATATTTCTCTTCCTCGTCCCTCATGACAGCTAATACCAAGCCCATCTTATTTCCCATGTTCCCATTTACTCTGCTTCCTCTGTCTCCCAACTCCCATATAATTCCTGTTATGTTTTGTAAAATGCACTCATGCACCCAGTATTTTTCTTGGAACAGAAGATTCAAATCCATTTCACGTTGAATTCATTTAGGATGAGGATGAGAGGTGGGTTACTAAATTGTTACAGATGCAGGAACATAGAAAAAATCTATATGGTTTTTGAAAATAAAGTCCTACATCAAAAATTATTTAGTCTGTTGTATACCAATTTATAGAAAATTTAGTCATCCTGTATCCTTATAAACATTGATGGGCCGCTGCAGGAATCCCCAAGGACCGCGCACAAAACTCTTTCTTGCCTTTTTCTGGCTTTGATTTTGTTTAATTTCTTAGACCAATGTGTCCAATTCCTCATCCAGATGTGTACCCTGGAAACAGGCAGCTCCAGTAATATACTTGTAACTGAGTTTTACTATGAAACTTACAGGACTTTTATAACCTTGAGAGATACTGTATTTTTTCAGTGTAGATGCATTTTCTGGAAAAATTGATCCAAGTCAAGAGAAACTTTTCCTCTTAACTTTGAGGAGAGTTTTTCTATTGATTGCATTTATATAATGGAATAAATAGGGTAAACTGGCCATCTTCGAGTCCTGGCTATCAGAGTCTTCCAAGAGTCTAGAAGAACGTTTATAGTGTTTCACATAGAGAGGATAATGCCTTCGGGTTGACCGAGGCACAAGTAGTATCGAACATTTTGTCAAATTTAATTTATGTCTGTGCTTCAGATTCATTATAGATAATCACTGTGGTTACAAATTTTTTATTTTATATTTACCTTTCTTTTAATGTCACTGTGAACATTTTGAGTGGCACAGCAAACTTGGCCAGTAATTTTCCTCTATAATAAATTATTTTTATACATTTGACAGATTCTTAAGAGTAACTTTTTTTCTGGGATATAAAAACTTTTGCTGGTAGAATTTTTTCAGTTTCACCACAGACATTGATATCAGAAAATACGTGTTCATGACTGACATCTTTGTGAAGAAGATGGAGAAATTTGGACACGGTAAAGTTCATAGATTAATTTGTAACCGATTGGTTGAATAAGAAAAATGAATTGTAAATCAAGCAGAGTGATTCTCAAGGAGGCAATGAGGTGCTAGTTAAAAAAAAAAAAAAAAAAAAAAAAAAAACATGTTACAATGGCTCTTGTGTTTTGATAGAAAGAAACAATGGAAAGTAAAGTTTGGCTGGTGAGCTACACACGGGGTATACTAGGTAAACAGAGAAGGGAAAGCTTTGTCTAGGGAAGGTGTGCTTCGGTGTTGGCTCTCCTTGAAACTGAGTCTGTGTCAAAGACTTGATGAAAGCACAGAAACACAGCTGAACAATTATTTTTTAAGCAATATAGAGCTTTAAAGCCTACATTGCTTATTTAAAGAGATTGATGCCTCAAGTGTCAGAATCAAGTTTTATTATGAAATGGACAGTGTGGGACACTGAAGCAAAGCAGGAAAGCTAACATTTAGCAGGAGTGGAGGTAAAACTTTACTCTGATAAAAGGGATCAAGTACAAAATGGAAATGTGTTTGTGAGAGGGGCAGTCAGACTTGGTAACAGTTTGGGTAAAACTCATCTTTAGCTTTGAGTTCATTACAAACTCATCGTGAACCAACAGTGTGTTACAGTTGTCAAAAGCATTTTGTAATCACAGGCTGTTCCGTGGAAGCGTAGTGTTCGGTTTGCAGAAGGCAGCGAGCCATCCTGTTCCCTGCGTTGCACAGATCCTGCCTGCAGGGCTGTGTTTCAATCACATGCGATAAATGCTCTGAAGCCACCAGACTGGGGAGGGCTGTTGGTAACCCGTGTGGTTTCAAGGAACTTCCTTAAAGTTTCTGAACCTAGGTTTCCTCAACAGAAAGATGAGGGTGAAAATACTTGCCTTGAAAGGCATCATTGAGAAGATTAAAGGAAATAATTTATTTGAACACTTTCTGGAATGTGGCATATTCATAATGGTCTGTGTTTGGTAATGATAATACGAACAATGGACTTTGACTTGAGCTTATTCAGCAAGAATTATAGGATGGTGAATGATCTGGAAACTTTCATATGAGGAATAGTTAGAGAAATAGGATGTGTTAAATATGGAAAAAAAAAAAGATTGGTTTGGAGGACAGGAAAGCTATTCTCAGTTACTTGGAAAGGTGGAGACTGAAGGGTTATTGTAACTTTTATGTATAAAAAGCAAAACTAAGGTAGAAGTTACAGAAAGTCAGATTGTAAGTTAACAGGAAAATAATGTCTTTAACGATCGCTGTCAACCTTGTGATGACATATGCACTACCATGGGGAGGGTTCCTGTAGAAACTGTAGGTGCGATTATGGAAGCCACTGGTTCCTCAGATGCTGCCTCAGACCGTACCACATCCAGTGCCCCTTCCTACTGCCACTGATGGACAGAAGAGACATACAGACACAAAGAAACCAGACTGAAAGAGGCGGAATTGTTTCCCTAATCCCTCTCTCCAATATGTGGAGTTATAGATGAATTAAGAATGAAGGCGATGATAACAGATGAAACTTTTTTTTGCATTTAATAAGGCATCAAAAAGAGCATTTTATTTTCATAAAATTGTGATGTTTTTCTCCATGGCATATTGAATGCCTTCATCACATCAACTAAAAATCATTAAGGCTCAAGTCTGCCATGATGGTAACATGAGAATTTATAGTCACCTGTAAAAGACTCCCTGGCAACACACACACACACACACACACACACACACCACACACACACCACACACACACACACACCACACACACACACACCACACACACACACAC